GAGCCTCCCGCTTCTCTCGGCCCGCTGGCCTCTCCAGGCATCCGCGGCAGAGAGGGAGAGCCCTCGATTCTCCCCCCCCCAAGGAACAAACCACGCTCTGCCTGGGCCCCTCCTCCCGTCACCCAGTTCATCGGCGCAGCGGAAGACTCAGGATGCCTCCTCGGTGCACCCCCAGCCTCCTTCCCCAGACCCTCACTCCCTGCTGAGGCGCTTCATTCCCATGGCCCCAAACTTACCCGTCCCCGAGTATCCCCTGCATAAAGCCTTTCCTCGGGCGTCCTCCTTACATCCAAGAACCTCCACCCAACGTCCCACGTCGCGGAGCTTCAGGCTGGAGCTAACCCTCCAGGCCCAGGGGAGCCAGCTCCTCCCGCAGGCCGAACTCCTCCGGGGGAGCCCCTTCCGCTCCCCAGACGCGCACAAGCCGAGTTGGGGCCCCACCGGGCCGCCCCACTGGTGCTCCCTGTGCCGATCGGAACAGGGCAGCCTCCTGTCCAGACCTCCTAGGCCGTGATCACGTCATCACGCTCAACGGTACATGCACTGACGTCATAGCTTTGCTGTGAGAGTCGCACAAGAAACCCACGTAACCACGTAGAACACAGATTAGCTCATGGCCCGGTGGCCTGTGACTGCTTGTCATCCGTGAAGGCCGCCCGCAGTCTCTGCCCGACAGGGCGGGCTCTTCTCAACCAGCGGCCCGGGGGCTCCTTTTACTGCGAAGTCTCCCGTTACCTTAAAGATAAAACCACGGACGACCTGCTGGGAGCAACGGCCCTGAGTGACCAGGGCACCCTCCACGGCCACTCACCGTTTTTAGAATAGTCACCCTCGTCGTGGTCAAGGGTGTCATATCCTCACTGCCCCTGTGCTGACCCCTACCGTGTCCTGGTCCCTCCTCCACCAGCAGGTCCCCACGCCTCGCGCCTGAGGTTGCGAGACGTCTACCCGCTATTGACTCTGTCCCGTTTTTCTTCCCGCCACCTACCAAACCTCCAGCACGTGCTCCACTGTAAACGTTTGCGTTGTCCGATGTCACTGACCGGAGCTCCACGCCTTCCCCAGCGAGCCTCCCCCCGGCAGGGTAGCCCCTCAGTCGGCACCCGTCTGCCACGATGGCGGCTGAAGGGGAATTTGCATTTATGGAGTCTCAGGAAAGACCAGTGAACTCCAAAGGTCACAGAGGCTCCGTAAGAGGCAGGAGCAAAACAGGAACCAGACGGCGCTTCCTCCTCTCCTGCCCCGTGTCCTATGCCCTCCTGGACCGGGACCTGTGTCAGCCTCTGGACTGGGCTTTGACGTGAGGCGGCTGACCGTGCGGGGCCAGCCGAGACTCAGATCTGACCTGCAGGGTCCCAGAACCTGCTGAGTCCTCGGCTACCCTCCAGGGAGAGCAGGACGCCGCCGATCAGGAAACTGGGAGGCGTCAAACGGAGCCTCGACCTTGCCGCACCTGAGCCTCAGTCAGTCCTCCAGGGCCCTGTGGACTTCATGCGCCATCGGCACCCTGGGGACCATGGGAGACAGTGTCAAGGCCACCACCCTCATGGCTCTTCTCTATTTTTGTGAGTTTTGTGGAAAAGGGAATGAGGGCCCCCCCTCCCGTCGCAGGTCCTGGTCCCTGTGAGGCCTGAGGAATCAGGAGGTTCAGTGGGGAAAGGACTTCAGGGGGAAGAGAGATGCGCCCACCCCGGGCCCGCCCCGGTGCTCAGGGCCCGACCAGGCCGGGAGCTTCTGTGCGGTTGGGGATGGTTCTCACAGGGACTCTCTTCCAGGGCTGTGTCAGGGCCCGTGGGACCCGGTACAGGCAGGTGAGTCCTCCCCAA